TACCACCACCACCACCATTACCATAACCACCATCATCACCACACCACCACCACCACCCCACCACCACCACCTTCACTATTACCACCATCACCATCATGACCACCACCACCTCTACCACCACCACCAACACCACCATCACTGTCATCACCATCATCATAACCTCCACCATTACCACCATTACCACCATCACCATCACCAACACCACAACCATTACCATCACCGTCACCACATCACTACCGCCTTCACCATCACCACCACCACCACCACCATCATCATCATCACCACTGCCATTACCATCACCATCACCATAATCATCACCTCCAATCTCACCACCACTACCATTACTACCATCACTACTACCGTCAGCCTCATCATCATCTGACATCATCATCATTATTAATAATACTCTCTATTGAGCAGCTACTCGATACCAGGCCCTCCGTGTGGCTCTGTGAGGTAGACATAGTTACTTCCCTCTTATGGATGAAGACTCTGAGGTGAGAAAAAGTTCGGACATTCACCCAAGCTCACCTGGACCCCATGGCTAGTCAGTAAGAGTTGAGATATGAACATGGGGCTTTTGGCTACACTTTCCCCCCTCAACATGTCCTGCCCTACATAAATGCATCATATTAGAGAGTTAGGGAGTCTGTACCCTAAGACTCTAGAGGTGCAGTTTTGAGTCTAGGAGAACATTTATGGCCACAGCACAGATTTCAATCAAAGATCCCAGCTGAAGTGACACTGACCAGCGTGCAGCCTTTTCATAAGGTAAAATATACCAGTTAAAAGACGGTGTTGGCATCCCAACCAGGGGTCCCAATGTACATGACGGATTCCTCTGTAATGATGACAGCTTTGTTTCTTTAGATCTCCCAAGAAGAACCTGAGGCAAAGCGTTCTAGTCACTCGACTGGTAGGTGAAGTTAGGCGGATGCCTTCTCCCTGGACGTCAGCGCCTCCCTCTGCAGGAGGGTGGGAGGGGAGTGGCTGCGTCAACCCTCAGCTCTGGCAGCCTGGGAACTCTGGAATTCATCCTGGGAAAGGTCCTGGTATGGCCATTTGGGGATGGCTGGGTGTCAGAGGCCCCCTGGAGAGCTTTGCCTCACAGCTGGTCACAGCCAGTCAGCATGGATCTGGATGCTTGCCTCTGCCGGTTCTGATGTCTTGGAGATGATTGATCTGGTAAGCACAGCTCTCTTTCTCTACACATTAGATACAACACCCAGAAGTTATGAGATAAGAGTCAGTTCCTCTGCCCCAGGGCCACCCCTCGTGGGCAGGGCTGCCCAGAAGCCCATCTTCCAGGTCTGTTTCTCCCAAATCCCTTCAACACTTCTGTCCTCCCTTCTTTCCCCACCTCCTGCTTTCTCAAGGATCTAAGGTGGCTCTGTTGGCCTCCACATGGTTTTAGGATCTCCTCCATCTGACGCCCCACACCCTCCCAGTTCTGGCCTCTCCTCCCCCACTCTGTCTTGGGGAAGGTTCACTTTTTTGGGGTGTGTGTCTGGTTACTTTTAAAAAATTGTGGTAAAATATATATAACATTAAATGTACCACTCTAGCCACTTTTAAATGTGTAGTTCAGTAGTGTTAAGTACATTTACATGATTGCATAACCAACCTCCAGAATACTTCATCTTGTGAACTGAAACTCTATGCCCGTTAAACAACAACGCCCCCTTCCCGCCTCCCCCGGCCGCTGGCAGCCGCATCCTCCTTTCTGTCTCCATGAAGCGGTCTGGTCTCAGTACCTCACAGAACTGGAGGTCTTTGTCTTAGCCGGATGTCCCAGGAAGGCTCACTTTTGCCCCCGGCCAGGCCCGCTTCCTTGCCTCTCTGTCCCTGCTGGTGTGGTTTCCTGTGCCCCAACTGCCCAACTCCCAGGATGCGACCCTGCCCACAGGGAGCATGGGCTCAAAGCCTTCTCCCCTGCAACCTGGGTTGGTGACTCCCCCTTCAACCCTGTCTCAAACAGGGTTTGAGTTGCCCACAATGGACTGAATGTTCCTTAGGGGATCATGTTTCTGTGCGCAGGACAGAGCTGGGCAAGGGATGGTTGAAGCATGGTGGAATAAATGGATGGATCAATGAATGAGTGGATAAATGAAGGTAGGAAAGAATAAATGAATTGATGAGCAAACCCAACCCAGCTTCTGCTTGTGCAGAGAGGAATAAGAAATAGCTCTTTTGGAACAAACTCATGCGTTTTACTTCAACATGCATGCATTCTAAGTGAATTAACGCAGAAAAGAAAACGGAACACCGCATGTTCTCACTTCTAAGTGGAAGCCAAGCACTGGGCACACACGGACATAAAGATGAGAACAACAGACACCGGGGTCTCTTACAGAGGAGCGAGAGGAAGGGGAGGATTAAAAAAAATAGCTGCTGGGTACCACGCTCCCTATTTGGGAGATGGTTTCAGCAGAAGCTCAAACCTCACCACCCCACAATCCAGCCATGTCACCAACCTGCGCCTGTAGCCCCTGAATGTAAAATAAATAAATAAATAGCCATGAAAACACATAAAGCTGAAAAAAAAAAAAAAGGAAATATTTCTTTTGGCTGCTTCATCTGGATTCCATCTGTGAGAGGCAAAGACCATTTTGGGCTTTCGAGTCAAACTTGGACTCAGCGATACATCCTGGTGCCTCGGGGGGCCAGCTGGTACCCGAGGGGGGTGCAGCGGGATGGGGTGAGTGCTGGGTAGGAGGTAGGGCCCAAGATGCTCAGGGGTCTCTGGGCCTGGCTTCAGCTCTGTAGAAAGCCTGGAGACCTCAGTGAACTTTAGCAAGTCAGGGCTGGATGGCGAGCCCGTTTTACAGATGGAGAAACCAAGCCCAGGAATGCACAGCGGCACCAGATCCTTACTCCTGCCCCAAGATTCTCCCTACTCCTAGCTGCCTCTCTGACTCAGCCCTCTTCCTGACTCAGCCTCCTACAGTTTTCAAAAGGTTCAAACTCCAGGCAAGACTGTCCTTGGATGGCAGGGCCTGGCACCCCCAGAAGGAGTTAAGAGGGTGTGGGGGTGTGGACCTGAGGTGGGGGGGTGAGCTGGGGAAGGAGCGGCTGTGGAAGGCTGCCTTCCAAGCCCCAGTGTGAAAGACCTGCATGGGGCCCTGGAACCTTTTTTCTTCCCTGGAAGAATGGCCTCTCCGAGGCCCTTGGCTTTGTCTGGAAGAGCCTGTAATTAGCCACCCTAGAGGGGCCTCTTCCGGCTTGCAACAATGGCGCCTTTCAGCCTCCCCCACTGACACCCACCCCTTGGACCCCCATCTCCAGGGCCCACCTCCAGCTCCCCCCACCCCCACCCCACTCCCTGCCTCTGCTTTCAGCTGCATCCTCCCGGCAAGCAGGAACATTGCTGTCCCCTGGGTTCTGCCAAGGACCTGGACCTGGGAGACTTGACTCTCTTCCACAGAGAAGACAGGGGCTCAGAAGGAGCAGGTAGGTGGCAAAGGAATGGGCCTCAGGTTTCCACACTCCCAGGCTGGGATGTCACATGGTCACCACTGCTTCATCCTGGGCCTTTGGCACCCAGCCCTCTCCAGCAGCCCTCCTCCCACGCAGGAGACCTGTCATCCTGGACACACACCCCCTCCCTTCAAGTCCACTGTGCCAGAGGCTCAGGAGTGATGGAATCACACTCAGACTGACAAAGGAAGGGCGGCAGCTAGTTTCTCTCCACTGCACGGATGGGGAAACCGAGGCCCAGAGCTGAGAAGTTGCTATCTGGGCAAAGGGAAAACTTCTGAAGGTTCACAGAAAGTCACTGGCGAGGGGCGGATGGACAGACGCCAAGACACATAGGAGCCTTCAGCATGAAGACCCAACAGTTGGACGAGGTGGCTCATGCCCATAATCCTAGCACTTTGGGAGGGCGAGGCTGGAGAATCGCTTGAGTCCAGGAGTTTGAGACCAGCCTGGGCAACACAGTGAGATCTCAACTCTAAAAAAAGAAAGAAAGAAAGAAGAAAGAAAGAAAGAAAGAAAGAAAGAAAGAAAGAAAGAAAGAAAGAAAGAAAGAAAGAAAGAAAAGAAATTGGAATGGAGACCAAAGATACAGGGGATGTTGTCCATTTTTATGCATTGGTTCAAGAAAGTATGGACAGGCGCGTAGAGCTGTGATTGGACAGAAAGGGCATATGATCT